CTGGTCCTCGTCACGTAGTTCTGTCCGTCTGACATCTTATAACTCATGCTCGTATTTTATTTCTGATAGAGACTCTCTTGAGGACTCTATAATGAGCTTGTGGCTCCTGGTCCTCGTCAAGTAGTTCCGTCCGTCTGACATCTTATAACTCATGCTCGTATCTTATTTCTGATAGAGACTCTCTTGAGGACTCTATAAAGTACATAGAAAAAGTCAAAACAAAAACTCGACCTGCAAATAGCAGGGTTAGCACAGGTTATAGACATGCAACATAATGAACCATGCTTGGTGGGAGGAGAGCTAAGCAGCACCCAGAAATGCGTTAGTATAAATCATTACAGCTTCTCCCTGTTGAGCATGTCTCTCTGCAAGAAAACCACTCATAAAATACTAACGCGCAGGTCTCACACCCCAGTAAGCACACAAAAGCAACACACAAATTGATGTCTGGTTAGGACAACCAAACCAACAAAGAACTATAGCCCAAATATCGAAAAAATTAACTAGCACCCTAGTCCTAGCCTAACACACCTTCTAACGTATAGTGTCCTAGTCACAACATTTAAGTATGTGCAGATGTGGAAGAAAAGGGGGGCATATGTTTTGATAGGGTCACCATCCCCAACCCCATACTAAGGATACAAAGATTTTAAGGGGTTCCACTAAATGCAAGTTTTGTATGAAGGAAAGCTTTTAAAATCTTTGATCTCATGTATGGTCTAAGTCAAAGATGTAACAATTTCAAAATAGGTTTTCAAAATATGATGCATACAAGTAACAAATATATAATTTTTTTTAATATCTTTAACATAGGTCCTAAGAAAGGAAAAACATAAGTAACACCTATTAAACCACTTAGAACCTTAGCAAAAATACACGTGCTATTCACAGTGTGATAGCTAGTATTGCCCACCGAGATATACTCGCGGTCAATAATCACTAGCACATTGTGACTAACAGGGAGCCACTCAGCTAACGAGTTTGATCTGTTGTCGAGGCGATTGGGGATGCATATGAAAATGCAAAATGATCTAGTGTGTTGTGATCGCTCTAGCAAGGTAGGAGTGATTACTGGATAACAAAAATTTGTCATAACCATATAGTGGCATATACCTATGACGAATGCGCTGATAGTATGGAAATGTGAATGCAAAAAACATTCAAGTCAAATGATACACACGTGGCATACTAAGGTGATGCCATGGGAGACATGACTTGCACACGAATGGATTCAGAGGCCTTTTGGCCGTGATCCATATTAGATGTTAGCCATGTACCCAAGTAAACACACACCGTGTACTTTTGAGGATTTAAAGGTCTTTGGGGCATGATCCATGCAAAGTAACGTGGCGTGACATATCAAGGTATACATGGGTAATGCCATTAAAACATGATGGTGTGATTCTCATTAAGAAGAATTAAGCACCGGGTAGGCTTGATGTGCAAGTCATCCCAAAATAAGACACTTGAGTGTCAAAGATGAGTGACTCGAGAAAACACCTACAACAGTCCAGAGTGGTGCCATAAAAGGTGAGGTAATGCAATTCTTCTCGTCAGAGAGAATTACGCACTGGGTAAGCTTAAAGTGCAAGCCATCCCCATAGAAGACACGTGAGTGTGTAAGAACAGTGACTCAGGAAGACCTCAAACATGCAAGTCATGAACATACAAGATGCTATGCAAACAAAAATGCAAAGGGATGTAGTGCACGGTGAAATAAGGATGTCACAAGTTAGGCACAAAGTACCATGCCAAAGTGGGGCATAGATGCCCATTATGAGCATATGAAGACATGCTCACATGTGCACGACAGTGTGCGGGGTGTGAATGCATTTTTGCAAGCAATATGAATAAAGATTACAGTAATGCAGCATTTAAGTGGAGTCGATCGGCGCGATCAGATCGGTGGTGAGTCGATCGAGTCGGTGGCAACCGATCAAACAAGTGGACCGGGGAAGGTCGATCAAGCTGGCATGGGCGATCGATCTGTAAACAAGGGTTGATCAAGCTAATAGGGCTGATGGCGGCCGATCAGTTCAAGCTAGAGAGATTGTCGATCAGAATAGCGTAAGGATAGTCGATCAGGACGGGGCGGTTGACTGAGAAGGGTTGATCAAGCTAATAGGGCCGATGGCGGCCGATCAGTTCAAGCTAGAGAGATGGTCGATCAGAATAGTGTAAGGATAGTCGATCAGGACGGGGCGGTTGACTGAAGAAGAATGGTCCATTGACATGATTGGGCTAGTGGTGGCTGATCAATCAAGTAGACCGGGGACGGTCGATTGAGCCATCGTGGGCAGTTGCTTGATGAGGAAGCGTTGATCAAGCTGATCAGGTTGGCGACAACCAATTGATCGAACTGACGGAGGAGGTTTATTGAGCCAATCGATTAACGCGGCGGAAAATTATCGATCAAACAAATGTAGGTTGTCGATCAACAAGGACAGTCGATCGGACTAGTGACAGTCAATCAACAAAGAATGGTTGATTGAGCCAATTGGGCCGGTGGCGGCCGATCGGTCGAACCGACAAAAAACGGTCGATCGAGCTAGGTGAGGGGTGCAACTGATTGAGGACGAATGGAAAAAGTATATTTTGATACAATTTTCAAATCATGTCAAGCACCATATGAATGTGAATATGTGCATGAAATGATGCCCAATTGAATTTGACGAAAAAATTGGGCTCATCCTAAAGAACCTAAGGCGAAGTGACGAAGTCGTAGATACCGTCCATTACTCGTCGTAACGGAGGGCCTACATCTAACTGTTCGACAAAGTGAAGAAATTTTTCCATAGGAGAAAATCTTTGCAAAAATAAAGGATTTCTTGTACAGGCATAGCCTTCATCGTCCAAGAAACACGGATCAATGAAATTCCTCATCCTCTAACTTGGGTTGGCTTCATCACATTCGTCAAGTGATGAAGCCATTGAATGGCCACAAGGTTGCTAGTTTCCCAGACGATTAGATTAAGGTTCTAAAGGGCGAGGTTTTGCTCACGGATTTGTAGGGAGTAGGGAAATCACAAAAAAGCTCATAACCTAAGGGTACATTTCTCTATCAGAAAAATCTTAAACTATTTCCTCTAACATTTAGACCCAGAGATGGCTCTAGGAATGAAAAACTAGAGATTTTAGAGATTCTCACCGCAAGAAGGTTGCAAGAAGGTTGATGATGCGTTCTCTATGCTTGTCTAAGCTCCTTTGAGGTAATGATGATGAAGCCACTTCCTTTTCGGAGAGGATGACAACGTCGTGGGGGTTCTCCTTCTCCAAAGTAGGGCAACACATATGCTTGTTAGGTACCAACACCTGTTTTTGGTACCACCAGCCTGGACACATGGCGAGGTCATGCCCTATCTTAGGCTAGAGATCACAAGTTGTTGACTTAGTGCTCCCCCTACTCGGAGAACTTTCGGCAAACAAAGGTCAGCCTAGTCATTAGGACCAGCTCCAGGTCAAACCCACCAGGATGTGCGACCAACAATTTATGCACTGCCTCAGTAGGAAGCAAAGGATTCACCTAACGTCATTACACGTTTTTCTTTATCTCAGAAGAACTATCAAATATTTATTTATATTGAAAGACTTTATTATTTCTCCTTATTGTAGGTTATATATCTATCCAAAATAAATTGGTTCAAATATTATTTGATCTGGGGCATCACATTCATTTATGTCTGAAAGTTTGTGAACTCTAACGGGCTGGAAGCATTTAAAATGCTCGATGCTTTATTAGTTTTTCTACCTAATGGGTCTCGCATGATGATTGATAGAAGTTGAGTGAATCTGACCATTAGCGATAGAAGCTTCAAGGAAAATTTGATAATGTTACCACTTACTACGTTCAAAGTTAGGTTTGTCATCAAGATGAGAGATAGAGTTTTCTATTGATATAATATCAGGTGTAGAAGCACTAGCAAAAGCACCTTATAGAATGACATTAAGAAGGTTGACGATGCGGTCTCTATGCTTGTCTAGGCTCCTTCGAGGTAACGATGATGAAGCCACTTCCTTGTTGGAGAGGATGACAACGTCGTGGGGGTTCTCCTTCTCCAAAGTAGGGCAACACATATGCTTGTTAGGTACCAACACCTGTTTTTGGTACCACCAGCCTGGACACATGGCGAGGTCATGCCCTATCTTAGGCTAGAGATCACAAGTTGTTGACTTAGTGCTCCCCCTACTCGGAGAACTTTCGGCAAACAAAGGTCAGCCTAGTCATTAGGACCAGCTCCAGGTCAAACCCACCAGGATGTGCGACCAACAATTTATGCACTGCCTCAGTAGGAAGCAAAGGATTCACCTAACGTCATTACACGTTTTTCTTTATCTCAGAAGAACTATCAAATATTTATTTATATTGAAAGACTTTATTATTTCTCCTTATTGTAGGTTATATATCTATCCAAAATAAATTGGTTCAAATATTATTTGATCTGGGGCATCACATTCATTTATGTCTGAAAGTTTGTGAACTCTAACGGGCTGGAAGCATTTAAAATGCTCGATGCTTTATTAGTTTTTCTACCTAATGGGTCTCGCATGATGATTGATAGAAGTTGAGTGAATCTGACCATTAGCGATAGAAGCTTCAAGGAAAATTTGATAATGTTACCACTTACTACGTTCAAAGTTAGGTTTGTCATCAAGATGAGAGATAGAGTTTTCTATTGATATAATATCAGGTGTAGAAGCACTAGCAAAAGCACCTTATAGAATGACATTTAAGGAGCTGCAAGGCTTATTGGAGAAGGAATTCATTAGGCCAAGCACTTCCCTTTGGAGAGCTCTAGTGTTTTTTGTTAAAAAAAGAATGGGAGTTTAAGGGTCTGTTTGTGGCAGTTGCAGTTTATCCAGCTTATCCTTATAAACAACTTATCCTGATAAGCTGCTGATCTAAGTTGGCTGACTGTTTGGTTTGTGCATTTGAAAAACAGCTGATTTGCAGTTGTTTCTGGATAAATGACCATTCTGCTCGACCCAGATAAGTTGTTTAGCTATTTGGTTTGTGTCTTATATATTTTTTGGTGAATACATGATCCCCATATCAAATAAGTGTAGGCATGCAAATCAAGCTCATTACCCATTGCTAATATTTTGTCTCTCAAAATGAAAGCTTCATGTAGGTTTCCTCTCTTCAAATAACCAGGCATCAGAACCATGTAAGCAACTTTATCTGGAGTCATTCCATTCAGAACAATTTCTTGAAAGAGCTTAGTTGCTTCTTCTGAGCATTCACTTTTACAAAATCCATCAATGAGAGATGTGTAAGTTAATACATTAGGCTGCAAACCCATGTCTCTCATTTTGTTAAAATGATAGAAAGCTTCATGAATTAACTCTTGCTTGCATAACCCATCTACTAAGGCACCATATGTGACATTAGTCGGGGTGATGCCCAACTCTTGCATCTTGTGAAGAAAACTAAGAGCCTCTGAGGTATTTCCTACCTTAAAATTTGCATCCATAAGAGTAGTATATATCACATAATTGGGTTTCAATCCAAAGTTATCCATTTCATTGAGAAGGGCCTCGACATCGCTGAAATTTTCTTCATTGCAGAGGCCCCAGATAGCAGTGCCATATGCTGAAATATCAGGTTTGTGGCCTTTTTCTCTCATTTCAATCATCAGATTCACTGCTCTCTGCATGTTCTTATTCATGAAATGAGCATGGATAAAAGCTGCGTGTGGTAATTGGTTCACAGACACTCCAGACTTCACCAATGTCTGGATAACTTCTTCAGCCTCCTTGAGGTTCCCATCTTTACATAGCCCGTCCACTAAAACGGTGTAAGTAACAACATTTAACTTTACGCCATCTTGCAACATTTCATCTAGTAAAATCAGTGCTTCCTGAAGGTTTCCGACTTTACAATTCCCATCAATAAGGCATGTATATGTAAACTCATTTGGTTTAAGTCCTCTCACCTTCATGTCCACAAAAAGTTTGGTTGCCTCCTGCATCATTTGTTCCTTACAGAAAGTATAAATGAAAGTACTGTAAGTAACCACAGTGGGCTTCAACTCATTCCTCTTCATCTCATTGAGGTATGCAAAAGCACCATGTAGCCTCCCAAACTTACAAAAACAATTAATGATTGAATTGTAAGTGATCAAGTCAAGACAATAATCATTAACCTTCATATATACAAGGAGTGATGCAGTCTCTTCAAGTTCCCCGCATTTTCCATACCCATCAATCAATGAATTAAAAGTCACCACATCAGTAAAGCAACCCTTCTCTTTCATCTTAAACAGCAGTTGTTTAGCACCGCACATATCTCCTTCCTTGCACAAGAAATCAATCATAATATTATAAGTAAATACGCTAGCAATGAAATTAGCATAGAACAAATCATAAAAAAACTTCTTTGACAATTCCCCCTTGCTCACTTTCATAAGCCTCTCTAGCAAATTGTTGCGAGATCTCAACTTGGGAAAAACTCGGATGTTCCACATCCTATAAAAGCACTCCTATAAAAGCACTCGTAGGACCTCCTCCTCCAAAAGCCACATATTAGTTAACACGCCAAAAAGTATATCAAATAGCCCGAGATTATAAGCGCATCTAGGATTGCCAAACTTCCTTCCCGTCACCTGAAGTACCTCAACTAAACTCACAGATTCTGGTAACATCCCAGTCGAACTGACTGAGTGTTGAAGAACCTGCTGAGCTTCAGAGCACATTCTTCCCCTGAAAAATATGCAGTGATGCAAAAAGAATCAGTAGAGTGGAAGAATCCCGGTCACTTTGAAGCACAAATGAAGAATCTGAAAGCCAAGTGCAGGTCTTTCTCGAGCTCTATAAGGACTCTGGATACCTTGATATGTACGAGGGACGAGGAGAATATCGACAAAAGGCAAGGGTCTTCCCAATTACCGGAGGTGGCTAGTGCGGGAAAGATTTTGTGTCTTCAGCTAAATTCGATTGAGTCAATAGGCAACGAATACAAGTGAGAAAGAAGCTAACAACGGAGAAGGGGCAGGCGGGAAGGAGCATTCTCGTGGCTAGGAGCGCGATTTGACTGGAGCCATTAGAAAGGTTGGATTTTTAGATTGGGAAGAGGGAAAGCCGCTCTTCTTCCTCCATGTGAATGAAAGAAGGGGTTTACGGGTTATCATCATAGTGGGCTTGAGATTGGCGAGGGAGGAGATGGAGAGGAGAAGGGCACGAGAGAAAATTTCACCTGCATGTGAATTCAAGAGGCGGGGTGCTATGCATTGATTATCAAGAACTAAACAAGCTCACAATGAAGAATAAGTATTCTCTGTCAAGGATGATGATTTTTTTGATCAGTTAGAAGGGTCTTCGATGTTTTTCAAAATTGAACTGAGCTCAAGTTATCAGTAATTGAGAATTAAGGAAAACAATATAGCAAAGATAGCTTTCAAAGACAGCTTTCAACACCAGATACATGCCTTATGAGTTTTTGGTAATGCCTTTGGGGTTGTCTAATACATTTGCAGTCTTTATGGACTTGATGAACAAAATCTTTAAACCATTTCTAGATAGATTTGTAGTGGTCTTCATCAACGAAATTCTAATCTTATTCCATTGATGAGATTCATCACACAGATCATCTTCGCACTGTTCTGCAAACACTGAAGGACAACTAGTTGACACTGTGGTTTTCCTCCTTTTTTCTCTCTTTCCTTTTTGTTCTCCTTTCCTTTTCTCACATTTCATTTTTCTCCCTCTCAACTTTTCTTCCTAAGCACTTTCTAAATTTAAATCATTTTCTAAAATATGAGATTTGATTTTATTTCCTGTTCTTATTTTAAAAAGTCTTTTCCTAAAATATAAAACCTGATTTTATTCTCCTTTTAATTTTAAAATCTGAAATTTGATTTTATTTTAATCCCTATTTTAATAGTCTTACCTAAATTCTGAAATATAATATTATTTCTTTCTTATTTTAATATTTCCTAAAATTGAGTAAAGTCTTTTATAAATAAGAGTTTTTGTGTCTAAGGTAGGGTATTGACTTTGAAATCTAATTTTAGTTTTATCTATTATTTTCTCTCCTAAGGGTTGTATCTGACGACAAGGAAGGTGCACCTGTTGTAACCCAGTCTGAGGTGTTGTTTATCTGCAATGTTCTTGTTACTACTCCTTATTCCGCAGTCCACAACTGTTCCAACCACCCTCCAGCACCTTCGGCCACCTCCTTGCAATCCAAACAGCCGCCCAACTTGCTCTGCTGCCATCCCAGATCAACGATAGTTCATTTCTGCAGCCTCCCTGCAGGTTGTCGCAGCCCCAACTGCCCATCCGACCCACTTTCCAGTAGGCTACAGCCCCTGCTGTTCTTCCAAACCACCGTCAGTTGTCCTTGTAGGTTATCGCAGTCCCTGCTACTCATCCAGACCGTTGTCCTACAAATCGCAGCAAAATTGCTGTCCTTCTAGCACCCCACTGACAACTTCCCTGCCAATTGTCGCCTCCCTCACAACAGGCCAAAGACCTCCCTGACCGACCTTTTTTGTAAATCAACAATTACAAGAATTTGATGACGCTACTAGAAGTTTTAAATTTTAGCAACGATGCCAAAAACTTGACTGCGACTTTATATATATGTTTGATTTAATAAAGATGTATAGATATAATATTCAATAATGTTAAAGTCAAATTTGTCAACGCAAGTATATGTATCGCTCAAGTAATATAGGGCTCTAAAGGAGTCTTAGATATCGATCCCACAGGGAGAAATAGAATACTACGGACTAAGATTTAATAAAAAGTAATACTTTAACTACAATGACGTTCAAGTTGCTTATCTGTCATTAATAGGCAATTGAAGTAAGTAGATAATTTGGATAATAACTAATTACAGAAAATAACATTTAATTGTGATATTCGATATATAAGAAAGCATCCTTCTCCTTGCCAATAAATTATAATGAATGAATAAAATGAATAAGTTCAATTAATATTGTGCCAAATAGGAGCATACATATTCTTTACCCTTTGGTCCAGACATAAAGAACATTGACTAATCCTGTGCTTGGTTACTGATTCTGCGGCTAAGCTGGGAGGATACCGACTCTCACTTCGGAGTTCCCACGTTCCCCTCACCTGAGGGCTAAAATCT